TACCTCACTGTCGAGTTGGAACTCCTATTTCAACATTTTCGGAAATAAAATACTATGAATTGTAGCCTTAGTCCTATGTTTATGCTATTGTTTCTGAAGTATAAATTTCTCCAAACAATCTAAATAATTATCTTAACGTAATTTGCACAGCATAACAATATGATCAACATAATCAGAAAATTAATTCATGCCCACCAACTTCATGAGGTTTCTTTAAAATGAATTTGCTGCCTTCAAATGTGCTAAAAGTGTTCAACAATCGTTTTCTAGGATAGAACGAATTTTGTCTCCTACAAAAGCAGTACAACAATTTACAGGAGTTCCAACGAACTCAATGCAATGTTTTTAATTAGAGAACAATATCAGAACGAGAGAGAGAGAGAGAGAGATTCAAAGAAGAGAAAGTTTGCAATGAAAAAGATGTAATTATTTTGGTAGCGGAGTAGACTATTTATAGACTCGTTTGTGGCCATCGACCATCCTTCAGGCCTTTTCAGAACATTTGTCACAGTTCAGACAGCTTCAAAGCACGAACAGAAAGCACTGTTCAGTATGAAATGCTACGTCTGTTACGTCGGTTAACAGACATCTATTACTTCTGTTATCAGATTGTCGAGACTAAAAAATTACCTGAAAATAAGACAATCAAAATTAATTTCATTAAGTACACAAGAATTTGATTAATTACAATTTGGCTCAAAAAAATTAAATAAATTTTGTCCAAAAAGTTATATAGTGCAAGGACCCACCCGTACTCGAACATGAATGAAACTGGACTCAGACACGTGTCGTACCGATTGGATGGTGGTGGCTCACACGTGTGGGCTTAGGACCGAACCCATAAGATATAGGTCTTCACTTTTTAAAGACTATTGGTATTCTTTGGGGTCCAAAACAAATTCTCAAACTACTACTATATAAGTCACACCAAAATAAGGATGGCAAAGGTTCGGCCAAAACCATAACTACACCACCAAATTTTTGGTCATACCATAACCGCACCATAACCACGTAAGTCGGTTTGGTTCGATTAATAACCACGAAAATAAATTGTTTTCTATAAGTCTAAACTCCAACCGTCAAATTAAAAAAAATTACGAACAAAAGTCAATAAAAATAAAAACACAATACTAAGCCAATTTAGCAAATAATATCCTAACTTCCAAATGCAAAATTCGAATTTAACAAACAATATTATCAACATAGGTCAAGACTCTTACTGACATAGAAAAATTGAAGAACGCATAAACTAGCAGGCAAAACAGACTAAAAATCACATTTTTCGGGTCACACATCATATATTTAAATAATAGTATAAAGAAAATGCAATCAAGTATAATGTATCTGAGTTTTGTTGAATTGTACAGTGAAAATGGTTTGAAACCAATGGTCGCAGAACAACTCAGGGAGTGTGCTCACAAAATGGTAGACTTCGTTGCTGATTACCAAAATTTGAAGCTGGGGTACAGTTATAAAGCACCGACGGATTTGATTTGGTTCATTTGGTTGAGTGAACGAATGTTTTGTAAGTTTGGTTTCCAATTTTCAATTTTAATGTGTAGGGTTAGAGTTAGGTTATTGAGTTAAGGGTTTACTAGTAATGTTAATTGAGCCAGAATTTTGAGGAAGCCCAATTGTCAAGATGACCCAATTAATTTTGGGAAAGAATAATGAAAAGCCCAATTGTTCAATTAATTTTTTTTAATGGATAATCGATTTGGGGCGGGGCACCGTCGCTAAATACCCTATCCACCCCACCCCGAACCGGGTCATTAAAATCTAAATCATAACCACCCCATTACACTATCGGTTCGATTTTTTTCGCCCCATTCGGTTCGGTTAACCGCGATTTTTTATTTTAATAGTTCGAATTGCCATCCCTACACCAAAATTTTCCAACTTTCCTACGTGGGATAAGTATTTGGTAATTTTCAGTAAATCAAATTCTTCACTAATTTATAGTTTCAAGTGGTTTATTTTGACATCAAATAATTCATTAAATTCTAAACGGTTTTTGATAAATAAATATATCACATTAATTATCTCGCGGAGTAGAATGTGAATATACTTGATCCCGTTAAAATTGAAGTACAAATCCCACTCAAATTCGAGTTCAAAGTAAGTTAACAAATCATTTCCAACATATGCACCTTGTAGCAGTGATATTGCAATTTTTTATTTTTTGATAGTTTTTTTGAATATATTTATTTTTGTATTCAATAACAATTAATCATTCGATTTTTATAAAGATTGTACTAAACTAGTAATGATAAGTGCATTCGCCCCACTTTTGTTCAGTCTAATAAGAATTGAACTCGATCGGTCATTTCAATGGAGAATAATGAGAACTGAGTCCAACTCATCAACTTTTATTTTTTCAATGGATTTTTAAAATAGCTTTTATTTTTCAAGATTTCCTCTGAATTAAATCTGTCGGCCACTTTTCCCTTTCCTCCGTATTTTGCCTTTATTAAACACTTTGAATGGCCAGCCCACGCCACCATCACCATCATTGCAAAAATCCCCGCACCATAAGAAACTGTAGTCACGACCACGCACAATCACCACACCATCTTCTGTGTTTATGTAGCCCATGTTTGTCTACCATTAATCTAAAAAAATATTTGCTACAGTAAGATTCTCCACCACACATTCACCTAATAAAATATTTTACACACAAACCAATAAAATTACTTTAATTTTCGACCACACATTCTCCAAAAAATACTATTCATTACACTAATTTTCTCTCAATAATAAAAGACAAACAAGCACGTAATGTCTTTTGTGACACACACACACTGACACATTACTAGGAACTTAGACATGTATTGAAGTTATCTCTCAATAGGTCTACAAGTGAATTAAATTTTTTTTTACCTTTTAACCAAACACTTTTCAGAATTACTATTACAATATCTCTTTTTCCCAAAAAAGGGGCTTAAACATAGCCTATATTTAGGCCTTGTATGGGAGGGATTAAAATCGGATTAAAATTGAAAATATAGCCGTTATTGTTGACTTTTATTAGACGAGTGAGACCCAGTAACGGCCATATTTTCAATTTTAATTGGCTTTTAATCCCTCCCGAACGGGGCCTTAGTATACAATTCAATATCACTCAATAACGTCCTTTATCTTACTTGCATATTAACATAACTTTGATACGTATTTTATAACATGATTAAATTGTACAAGTTTTTTCTAATGGACAAGGTAAAATCCATTATAAAAAACTTACAAGAAAAAATATCAAATAAATGTATCTTCACTTCAAGATCTCTATTTTCACCGAAACTTAACCAACTCACAAATTTTAGTACTTTCTTTAATTTTGTAAAACACAATCCAGTATTGATATAATGTATCCGATGGTATTAGAAAATACTCTCGTAATACAATATTAAACACTACAATCCCATTTAGGGTATAAGTAGTCTAGCGTTGCTAAAATTCTAATTTTTTAGCAAATTTTAATAAAAAATTGATGAAATATTTAGTTGAAAAATTTTGAGTCGCATATAATGCATAATTAACATTCATCGTTGAGTTTGATTTAATTTTTAATCAACTTTTAAAGCTATACCAAACAAAAAAAAAAGTATAAATAATATAGAACCTAACAGTATATATTATTTTTTCTTTTTTAAATGGTCCCTTGTAGCATATATTTTCAATGATCAGTCAATCAGCAGTTCAATTATTCTTCACTTGTCTGAGTATGAATTCCGAGTTCTGACCGCTCCACACTGAGAAAACAAAACGAAAAACAGTACCCATTACCTCAATTATTATTTCAGTTTTTATTTGCAAAATCAGTCATGGAAGAAAGGCCAGAGACTGAACTAATATCAATACCTGCCACCCCACGTGCGTCGACGCCGGAGATACTGACGCCGCCCGGTCAACGGTCGCCGAGGAAGGAATCCTGCACGGCCAAGTCATGGACTCCGACTTCGTTCATTTCGCCGAGGTTTGTGAGCCCCATTGGGACACCTATGAAGAGGGTTTTGACAAATATGAAGGGGTATTTGGAGGAAGTGGGGCATTTGACGAAGCTGAATTCTCAAGATGCTTGGCTTCCCATTACAGAATCACGCAATGGGAATGCACATTATGCAGCTTTTCATAATCTGAATGCTGGAGTGGGATTCCAGGCCTTGGTCTTGCCTGTGGCCTTCTCTTTTCTTGGATGGTATGGTACTCAAAACTTGAATTAAATTAGATTAGTTTCTAAAATTGTTTTTATTTAGGTGTTTTAGTGCTGGTGAGTGAGGGATTTCAATTCATATGCGGAAGCTTTTCTGTTCAAGATTGCTTGCATTTATCATTTATGGGTGTATTTTCTTATTTCCTAGCATTTAATGTTCACTCTAGTCTCATTAGGACTCTTTCTTGATACGAGTTGTTTCCTTTAATTTCTTTTGACAATTTTATTCATTTACATTTTTGAATGAAAAAAAAAGAGTTTCAAATTAATTTCGTTTTTATCAAAAAAGTGAAAAATGGCTCCATGTGAAGCTGAATTGTAATGAAAGTCTAATCTGAACACAATAATTTAAATAAAGAAGTTCATCTCCTGTTTAAGAGTTTTAGTCCAGATAGGTACGGGAAACCATTAACGAAAATTGTGTACAGTTCAAGCATTTGATGAGAATGAATCCAACTTAGCATCTTCAGCCTTTAGACATTTAGCTGTCTTAGCATGATGACTTATGTTGGAGTATCGTGTGTTGAGAATAGGGCCAAATGATAAATATGAGAATAATATGAGCAATATGAAAATAATGGAAATAATGGATCACAAAGAAAACAAGATTTACGTGGAAACCCAAATCTTGAAAAACCATGGGCAGGTAGAGGTGTCAATCCGGATGGTCCGGGTTAAGTCGGCCCGCCAACATACGAGGCGGGTAACGGCCCGTGTGAAAAAAGCCCGCCCGCTCGGGTTCCGGGTCGGCCCACAAATTTTGGACTACAACCGAAGCCCGCCCGCTTACCCATCCGGGCCGAGCCCATGCAGGTCACGGGTCGCGGCTTGTTCCATATGATTGTATACATAAAATTATAAAAATATAGA